CTAACAAGCTAGCATCTAATTAGAGGTCATATGTGGAAGATGATGATGATGATGATGTCAGGAGTTAGGTTATACTTAGATTTTGGTTATATTTTGTTTTGGGTTAGGGGCAATTTTACCTTTATACCAAAGCTTCATTAATTTCTTTCATAGGATCAACTTATTAAACATTGAGCGATTCATACTTTCAGTTCTAATTAGAGGGCAATGAATAAAATCATGCAGATTTTTTAGTGAAGTTATAGATATTTAAAATCCCTGAACTTGTGTACGGTGGAAGTAGGTGGTGACTTAATAGGTGACTGCGTGATGAGATGCTTTTGGTGAGAAGAAGATGATGAAGGAAATTAAACTGACGGTCGTATTTATTGGCCTACCTAAGCCTCCTTGACTTGTGTTCCGATCGACTCCATCTTAATTATACTTGCTTTTGAAAAACAAAATCCTTTTTATTTTGGTCCAAGCCATCTCTCTTTAGTTAACTTCCACATGCATAGTTGCATATGCAGTACCATGCACCAATCGCCCAGCTTTTTTCCAAGAGTTTGGTTGCCCAATTTCCTATTCCGTCTCCCTCATATATAGTAACTATATACTCGTCTTGTCCTATTTATAAGACAAAGAAAGAAGATATGTTTTTTATTTATATGGTACTGAGAAATTTTTTTTGCATAGATATACAATTTTACCCCTTATTTATTATTGTGTTGATTTTATTTATGAGGTATAATATATATTAAATAAGAATAAAATTAGAAATTTATTAAATTTTAAATAAGAGTTAATGAAGTTTAAGATTTTTTTTATTTATGTGAAACATACTGAAAGTGCCTTATAAATAAGATCAGGAGTATATAATTCAACCCATCTACTTCTCCATTAAAATTTCATCAACTTTAATTAGCCTCTAGGTTAACCCGATCCCCTCATTCTAACTGAAAATGACTTTAAAACCAAACCTTTTAAAACACTTTATTGCATTTAATCTCGTCATAATTAGCATTGCTCTACTGACATTAAGGCTGAACCCGCTGCTCATCCCTTCATCTATACTCCTTCTGGCTCAAAATATAAGCTAAATTTTATCTATTATATTTATTAAGAAACTAATTAAAATCAATTTAAAACAATAAATATGTAAGACATATATTTGTTTTTTCTAATACACCCTTATTAATGAAGAGAATAAGTAAAAAAAATATAATAAATAAATTAAAGAGGAAAGAGAACATGTGGGGGATAAAATTAAAAAAATCTCATTAAATGTTTGGATAAAAGTAAATGTTATCTTATTAAAAAAAATAACTCTTTTAAAAAAGTTTAGCTTATATTTTGAACTGGAGAAAGTATTATTGTGCATAATGTATTTGGATTCAAGGTCCTGTGTGCGGTCCTGTGTGCTACAAGTTCGGAGGATTTGCGAATCCCTCCTTATTCTAAAACTTTCCAAAGTCTGTTTCACGGCATCTAAGTTGAAAGAAATAAATTGAACAAGTACAGTCATTTCTTATTGGGATGTACTATTAAACCAAAATTAGAATTATCTGCTGAGAATAATGATAGAGCAATTTATAAATGTCTCCGTAGTGGATTTGATTTTAGTTTGGTAGAAAGTTTCTTATTTGAAAATTTAATTAGTAACTAAGAAGTACCTGATATGTTTTTATATATAAAAAGTACTGATACCAGATTTCATATATAGAAAGTATTAACACGCAAATTCAAGTATTTGACAAATAAAAGTAATTATAAAAGATTATATCATTATTTAAATTTGACATAAACAAAAATGAATAATGTGGTGATGGTTCTCGTGTCTATCAGCTGCCTGCCAAGTTCTTCCAATCGTTTAATCTAAAAATCTGTTGGCAATGGGCATTCGTACTGGTATGTTTTTGGGCAGGCTGAAGTTTGTACTTAACATTACTTTAGTTTTTTAATATAAGATTTTATTTGATTTTTAATTTTAATTTTAAATATAAAATTTTAATCTATTTTATCTCTCTTATTATACATTTTTTTCAAGATAGTCTTTCTAATAATAGTAGTTTTAACCAATATATTTAATTAGTAAGGATATTTAAAAAAAACAATACCTATTTATTACAAATAACTAACTTAACTTATTTTTTTAATTTTTTTAAATTAATCAACTAACTGCTATAATTAGCACCAGAAGTCATCATATTCACCGTACAAGGGCAGCAACGAAATGACGACATTGTCCTTGACCAAAATACGAGAGGAAAATGACGTTTGCATTCTAGTGATATCTCCACCCGGCAACGCCTTATCGCAAGGATTACAAATGCCACTGGAGGTGAAGAAAATTACATCATTGACCCGCCAACGCCTAGGCCAGGCCCAATCAATCACGACGCTGCTTTTTCTTATGACCTGCCGCAGTGTAGAGCCGGTAATATAGGTTGGACCCGCGGGTTAGGGTTGGCCTTTGGTCAACCCGCCACCACCTGAAAAATATGAACCCGCACCGCCACAACCCGAGCCCGCCATGGGTCAGCCCGCCAACCCACCTAATTTTTTTAAAAATTTTTATATATATTAAAATATTAGGAGGTAGGCTGAAAAGGTAGAAAAAATTTATGTTTGAACTTGTATTTTATCATGTTTGGAGTTTAAACTTTGAATAATTGTATATTTTGTGTTTTAATATGTTGTAATTTTGTGTGAATGCTTGGAATACTGTAAATAATTTCTGATTTTTTTTAATTTTTGATTATTTATAAGAATTTTTTTTAAAAAAAAAATCTGGCAGGTTGGTGGGTTAGGGTTGGCAGAATACCAACCCGCCAAAAAACGGGCCTTTTGAGCCCGACCCAAATAACCCATAACCCGTGACGGGCCAACCCGCAACCCGCGGGTTGGCCCGTTTTACCAGCTCTACCGCAGTGTTTCCTTCAGAAATTTTTGGGGTGTGTTTGGATGAAACCAAACCATGGTTTGAAAAAGTAATTCTAAAGAATAGATTCTAGAAAGAATAAATTCTGAGAAGAATAGATTTTATGAAAAAGTGATTTTGAGAAGTGAGAGTGTTTGGATAGTTGTTATCAGAAGCACTTTTTATATATACAAATTACTAAAAAAAAAGACATAAGTTAATATGATAATTACAGAAAAAATAGATTTTATGATATATTTTAATTTGAAGGAATAAAATTGTTAATAATATATTTTTTATTAACATAATTAATAATACATAAGATAATATAATTAATAATTAATTAATATGTATATATATTTATAAAATATAAGATTAAATATGTTTATAAAAAAATATGTTTATAAAAAAAATAACAAGATACATATCCTATAAGCTCTCACACTCTCTCTCTTTTCTCCAAAAGCAAAAAAAATTTGCTTTTTCTAAAACCATGGTTTTAGTTTTTGGGTGGGTGTTTGGGTGATTCATTCCCCAAACCATGGTTTGGGGTGTCACCCAAACATACCATACTTGACTATAATTGTCCCGCTTACACCTAACCATATTTGTTTTGAAAAAGAAAACCCTTAGGTGAATACCAGAAGGACGATGCACCAAATCTTATAGGACAATGCTGTATAAGCATTTTAGAGATCCTCCTCTTAAAACCTCAGCCAAGATGTAATTTTCTTTGGGCACCACAATATCTTATAAACATATCTAACATCTTATATGTTTAAAATTTAACAGCGGGAATAAATTTAGTGGAAGAGATTAGTCCCTAACAGTATGGTGAACTAATGTTTAAATCTCCATTAGATGAGATATTCACGTTTAATGCAAGATAATGCTTCAAACAAAATTAACTCCAATAGAGAGATATATGTGCCTAACAAAAAAAAAATCAATAGTTAAAGATATATAAAAACTAAATTTTTTTCTGGAATAAAAACAAAGCTTAAACTTATTTGCTTATGTTTACTGCAATTAATTCTTTAATCAAATCTCAGCATTTAAATTTTATCATAAATGATATAATTATAACCATCATATTTAAGTCAAGGGAGAAATAAAGATAAAAAACTTGAGTATTAAGATTTAATTGGAGAATTAATTACTATATTTTATAAATTGTAAAAATTGCAAATCATTTTCCAAATTTACAAAATATTTAAAAAAAAAAAAACAAGACACACAAACTCACATCCAGAGCATGTCAAATTACTTACTAGGACTGGAGCATGTAATGAAAAAGGGGTAGCATTAAGTGGGGAGGATAGTGATCAAGTTCAATCCTCACCACTAAAGTCCTCAGTAAATACACTCCTACCCCACCTCACTGCACGGATCCCCAAGCGGACGCTTTGCCTTTTTACAATTTTCTCAAACTCCATGTTCTCAAATCTCAAGCCTAATTTTGTGGACTTGAGTATTTGTACCTTTTCCGTTTCTTACCTTGGGTATTGAATGGAAGCTTGTGCATTTCAGGTTTAATATTTTATTAAGTAATTTTTAATATTTAAATTTATTTCTTTTAATTGAGAGTTAAAGAAGGACTGAGAGAGAAGAAAAGGGGAGAGAATCAAATCCTAATTTCCACCCAATTTATCGGCTTTTCTCGCCCCATGAATGCTGCTTGCTTCCCTAGAAACTTCAAATTACGCCTAATCCCAGAATTTAAAGAGATCCAAGGAACTCATATCATTGTCACCACTCTTGGTCTTGGACATAGCAGAGCACCATTCTGAAATCTCAATTGTCAATGGCAGGCACCTGAGTTTTGTTAGTCATTAATTGTTTGTTGATAAGTTTGCTATGCGTCATCACTCATCCGCACGCATCTACACATTTTACTAATCCAAAAATCATATTCCCAAACTGGAATTGGAATTAAATTGCAGGGCAAGTTGCCAAGTTGAAAGATCTCAAAAATCTTCCATCGATTTCTTTTTCCTTTCTCTTCATTTTCTGTTCGTTTCCCAGGAAAATAGGAAGAAGAAGGAAGAGCAGCTGCCTTCAGATGTCGAGTGGCAGTATCTTCGGTATCAGAATTTAGAGGTTGGAGCGACGAACCAGAAGAAAGATCAACAAATAAAATTTCTGTCCTCCTTTAGATGACGGTGAGGCATATTTACAGGCAAAAATAAGAAAACAAGCTACAAGGAAGAAAGATGAAAATGAAAAAGATCTCACTATCTTTCTTTTCTATCACTCTGTTTTTTTGTTTCTCCCAACGAAGCCATATCCTAGCAAAAGTCTTCAGAGGAAGGAGAGCCCAGGAGGTCGTGGATGTCACGCGCGTCGTCGTCGTCATGGTCGAGGCCGAGACGGAGCGCTTCGAGGACGCGCTCGAAGACGAAGACGTGACAGGGAATTCGAAGCACGCCTGGCTGCTCGTACCCGTACTCCTGTGCTGATTTGTTCAGAAGCTTCACGAAGATCGGGTGGTTCAGAAGCTCCGCGCTGACCACGAATCTCTCCATCTCATCGCCTACGTAGACCGGCACGTGACCTTCCGGCACCGTATGCGATCGCCGAAGCTTGGAAGACGCCACCAATCGGAATGACTGTGACAGGCGCGGCCGCCGGTGGCGCGACTCGGATCGGAGCAGAGTGTACTGAGACGAATCAGCGACTCGAGCGAGACGGCGAATCAACTGCTTCATCTTCTCAAAGTTGGGAGCCAGGAGGAACCGGCGGGTGAGGAAAATCAACAGCAGGAGACAGTGGAGAGAGAAAGGAATGTATGGAATTGGCGAGAGAGAGAATTGAGAAAGTGTGGTAGGTGTAAGAGGAAAGAGAAGTTGTGATGAGTATATGTATATATAAAAGACGGAGAGGGGGACTGTGCAGTTGGAGGGCAGTGAGAGAGGGGAGAGAGAGTCATGGCGATGCTGAGAGGAAGTTTGAGAGGTACAGGGAAGCGTACTTGGCAGGTACAATTCATTTTACAATTAAATTATTATTTAAATAATAAAATGGGATAAAACAATGAGCAAATCACATTTAATGGCCCAGCTTATTATACCATATTGCATTAATGTACGATATCATTAAACTTTAAATTAAATACTTATTTATTTAATTATCTCCTCTATTGGGAAATATTAGTGGCAGCCATTTGGATGTATTTTTATCATCTTAGGGCGATTTTACATTTTTAATATCTCTAATTTACAACTACTACTATGTTTTATTTTTGTTATATATAAGTCATTTATAAAAAAATTATTTTTAAATATAAGTCATTTATGTAGTAATCAATAAAATTAGAATTTTTCTAATTTTATCCATACCGAATATAATAAAAAAAATGTGGGTACATCATTTTTTTAATCCTCTTTCTTTAAGGGGGAAGTGAGAAAATTTTTATTAATTTAGTGCATCCCCTGATAAGTGAGCATGAACACAAGTGACTCATACATAGGAACAGAATGATAATCATATTTTTTATGTAGTTAAATACTATATAACACCTCAAATATTTATTTATAACACATGTTAAAAGAATTTTTGATACATTCAATGTTCAAAAATAGTTTTTCAGTACCACAACATATACTAGAGTAATTTGTTTTTTTATATCCAGTCTTCTAAGTTATTTTTCTAATAACATTCATGTTCCAAGTTTAGAGTGCTTATTATTACTATGGAAAATATTTTAAGAATAAAATTGTGTCAAAAAATACTTTACAATATTAAGTGCTGCTAAAAAAATATTTTAAATTCTTAAATACATTAAAAACTAATTTAAAACATTGAATACCACTAAAAATTTTTTTTAGAATACTGGTTTTTACATATCTTCTTCATATCACCTCGATTAATCAAATTATTGAAATTTATATAAAAAGTGAATAATTATTCGTGAATTTATTGATAGGTAAAGAGAACAAACCTAGAACTTTCCTTCAGGTCAAACAAGATTTTTTCTGCACAAAGTGATGTATTGGGAAATTTGGATTTTGCATTATTTTATTTTGGCCTTTTTTGTTGCTGGCTTTACATGGCGGTTTTGGAAGTTACCCTTGAAATGTGTGTGAGTGGGAGATATGTGGATGTCAGAACATTTATCACCGTTCAAATATTGGTAATATTTTTTTCAATTTAAAGGAAAATTTTGGATAAAATCAAAGATATTATATAGGTGGCATGCTCTCTTTCAACCCCTTTTCACGGTCCAATTAACTCTCCAACATTTGTTATGCCTCACAAATATTGTTCCTCTCTTGTAACTTAGCTGTTATCTTCTCTCAAATAATAAAAATATAAAAATTATATTTAAGAAGTTTTTTTTGGTTGGACTCAGGGTATCTATCACTAGTCACGTTAACTAATTTTCTTACACTGTAAACTTTTAAAAGAAGTTTTAGTGCTAATCACGAGATACTGTTCACATATACCTCTAGAGTATACATTTAATTGTTATCTTTTCTCAAATAATAAAAATACAAAAATTATATTCGAAAAGTTTACATTTTTTTTTGTTGAACCCCATTACCGTTAGTTGCAGTGACTAATCCTCTTACATTGTAGATTTTTTAAAGAGATTTTATTACTAGTCATGAGACCTTTTCCATTAACATTGCTAGGGTATACATGTATTTTATTTATTAATATAAAATTTATTTTGATAGAAATGTTGGGAAATATTTATTGATTTTTTTTGTACTTGGTTGGTTTCTGTTTAATGCTCTAATATTTTTTTATGGCAAAAAAAAAACGGAGGGATAATTTTCCAATTTTCGGAATTACATCAAATTTGGTTATGTCTTCCCGTTATGGTTAAAAGCCATTTAGTGATATATGGTTAAAATCACATCAAATACAACAACGTTGCATTTGGGATTTTCTTTTTCATTTTATCAATCTTGAATGGGAAAATGAAACCATCTAGAAGTTTGATTAGGTCAAATTATCATTAGGAGGCAGATTAATTAATTCTTACAGCATTGGCCCAAATTAAATTTTTTAAAAAAAGAAATCTATGTTTCGTGTCAACATTTAGAAATCCAAGGATCAGCAATGCTGAATTGCCAATATATATGTTGTTGTCCTTCTCTTTTGCTTGATTAATAACATAATTTTAGCAATTAATCATTCGTTGCTGGATAAGCCATGCTAATTTGTTAAATAAATAAATATATTCATCCTACGTATTAAGTTGACTTTCCATTCACAAATTCATCCTGTATAATTTTAGCGTTCACATTGCAATCTAACGTCTATACATTTCATAAAACAATATTTTTTTTATAAATACTATATCATTTTATTATCTTATTAATCACTTTCACTTTGAATTTTGAATATCATCAAGCTTTGATTTAATAAGTGGACGTGCACACGCACATATTCTCTCTCGGATTCTATATGCTTCTAAGATGCTTCTGATAAAAGTAAAGAGTAATGTACCAAAAAAAAAATTACGGTGCAATTAAATTGATAATATCGTTTTAAAAACAATAAATTTATCAATTTATTCTCATTCAATGTTTCATTTTCAAAAACGCTCATTTCTTTTATATGCAATCTCTTATTCTAATTATAGAAAAATGTTAAAAGGATAAAATTGAAAAAAAAATTAATAATTCATATTTTCGTGTAAAATGACTTATAAAATGGACAATCAATTTTTTCCGAAGGTAATAACTTATAAGACGAAAGGGAATGTATAAGTTAAAAGAAATTTAAATTTTATTTATTTACATTTTAATAATAATTTTATAAAATATTAAATTTACATCATATAAATTGTAATAATCCACTGGTTGAAATTTATGGAGGAAAATGTAGTGAAAAATAAATGGAGAGGGGCGAGCTTCCAAATAAATTAATGCATTCCGGAACAACGAATTGCAAATCAAATTAGTAGTATAAGTTTTTTTTTCCTTATCATGAGGCATGCAAATAATCACTGTCATATTTGCTAAACTATGTGCTACGCCTTTGTTTTTTCAGGGATTTGGATCACTTCTTTGTCTCTTCTCTCTTTTTCTTTCTCCTCATTCCATCATTAATATTATTATTGAATTACCATGGTAAGATCAAAACCATAGTTTCAGAAGTGTTTTTATGGTATACGAAGTAAATATGTGAAGGAGTTTGTCTCGATTTACGAAAAAGTACTTCTAAAAAGCGTTTATTGGGCTTCCCAAACACTCTGATTGAGATATACTAATTTATAAAACTATGATTATAAAATTAGATAATAGAAAGATAAATAAATTTAATTTTTAAAAATTTAACCTGAACAAGCCATAACTATAAATTATCTAAAAATAGGGGGAAAATATAATACTCCTCCGGTCCTTAATATAGGACCTAATTGTTGAGTTAGTTTTGGTTTTAAATATAAGATTCATTTATCATATTTATCAATTTTCTCTAAATTACCCTTATGGATACTCTCTCAACTATAATCAAGTAGAAGAGAAAGATAAAGTATTAAGAAAGATGATTATAGTATTTTAGAAAAGACGTGTCACATTTTATATAATTAACTAACTTATCTAACTTCCTTAATCTAATCAAATTAGTTAAATATGTCTTATATTAAAAACCGGAAGAAGAGTAGTTGTATAAAATATTAAATCCCAACCGATTCATATTTTTTAATTCAATGATAGGGTTGTAACGAAGAGAAAAAAAAAAAAAAAAAGAGAATCCGAATCCCTCTTTCAGTTAAGAGATCTCTAAACAAAAGCTGCTCCAACACCAATATTTTATCTTCTTTTTTTATTAGTGTTTATTTTTAAGACAAATAAATAAGAACATAGAAAATGAGGCATTATTTCAGCTGGATCGGTTTATAAGAAATACTACATTTGATCCTTAATATAAGACTTCATTTGATTTTTATTTTAGTCATAAATATAAGACCCCAATCTACTTTGTCTCTCATATTTATATAATTTTTTTCAAGATAGTCTTTCTCATAAAAGTAGTTCTAGCCAATATAGTTGATTAACAATGATATTTTAAAAAAGACAACACCTATTCATTACAAATAATTAACTTAACTTATTTCTTTAATCTCTTCAAATTAGTTAACTAGATTTTATAATTAAGACCGAAGGTAGTATATAATTTGTTTTGCACAACGTAAGGAAAACAATTAAAAAGAATGATTGAAGAAATTGAAAAAAAAGGTAATAAAAGAGAAGAAGGAGAATTAGGGGGTGGAAAAGGCATAGAAATATGGAAGTCCGTAGTCCGTTGCAGTACAGTTCCGTGACCGTGAGCAAGGATGTCCGTTTCAGATTTCCCCAACGTCCCTTCCCTTGTCCTTTTCTCTCCCACCCAAACCCACTCCTTCTCTCTCTTTTTACTTTTTAGCTTCCTTCACTTTCCCCCGTAACTTTCACGCGCCCTTCATCCAATCCTCGCATCTCATTTCGCAAAATTCAGAGAAGGTAACACTTAGGAGAGAGTATTTAGATAAAAATCAAATTATAATTTTAAAAACAATTTTACTATATAAGAAATAAATATGCAGAAAAATTTATCTTGATTTATAAAAAGTATTTTTAATAATATCTTAACACCTTTTTGGACGGTTTAGATTTAAACGATTTATGTCAAATGTATTTGGATGGTCATCACAGCAAATTTCTTTTTCTTCCCTTTCACTTCAAAGATTTTTGATGAAGTATATTTTAAGTTTGTCACGGACGGATTGAGATTTCCAAGTTCAAAATATCCAATCATGTGGAATTGACAAATACATCCAACCATTGGCCTCCGAACTCCGTTTAA